CCCTGCTCACTCCTGCCCCGGCCCTGTTCACTCCTGCCCCGGCCCTCCTCACTCCTGCCCCGGCCCTGCTCACTCCTGCCCCGGCCCTCCTCACTCCTGCCCCGGCCCTCCTCACTCCTGCCCCGGCCCTCCTCACTCCTGCCCCGGCCCTCGCTGCAGTGTTCAGACTCAGGACAGGCAGCTGGGCAAGGTGGGAGCAGGACCCTAGCCCTGTTCTGCTGGGGCTGGGGGCTGCTCTGCTCCCCCATTCCCACTGGAGCCTGCTGCCTCCTTACATAACCCGCTCCTGCTTTCATAACCCACTGCTGCTTCCTTCTGGAGTGGGAGCTCCAGGAGCAGATTGGAGCGCAGGGAGACATGAGCTGCCTCCCTATGAAAATAGGGTCATTACCAGCACTCGGGCTCCAGTGCCAGCTAATGGCCTTCTCTCATGGCCTAGGGCCCACCAGCCTCCCTCCAAACCCGGGGAAAGAGGAGAGGCTCAGGTAGGACTGGCACCCCACGCCAGGGCTACCCCACCCCATCTTGGGATGGGGATGGATTCTCTGCTGCTCTGGCATCCAAGGCAGGGAGCAGCCCCAGACTCCAAAGACCCAGGCAAGCGTATCCGCCCTGAAAGAGCTCCCTGGAGAGAAGTCTGCAGGCAGACAGGTTGGGGAGGCCGTGGACTCTCAGGGTTGAATTGGAGCTGGAGCATCCTGATCTCTGCCCAAGTAACTATAGACATGGCAGTTCACTTTGCATCTTCGTTTCCTTATCTGGAGAATGGGACTAAATGAGGACCAATCTCATTGGTTGCTGGGAATATTAAATGAAATTCTGACTGGCAGGTACCTGGCCTAAAATAAGGGCTCAGTAGTCGCCATCCCCATTTAGCAGATGAAAATACTGAGGCTCATACAGGTGATGTGACTTTAGGGGTACGCATCATCTAACAACAGCAAAGCTATGCATAAGACAGAAAACTCACCATGCGCTGGGCACATGCCACACATATGTGGACTGAGCTACTCCCCAGAACAGCCCTGTGGGGAGGTGCTATTATTATCCCCATCTGACCCATGAAGAGCTCATCTTAAAGGGTCTAAGTGACTTTCATAAGGCACACACTTGGGAAGGGGCAGAGCCAGGATTCGAACCCAGGCATCTGGCTTCAGCTCTAAGCTCTTTGCCACCCTTACAAAATAACCAGAACCAACAGACTGAGATGGCAGTAAGCAGGAGTTAAGCTAGATGCAAGGAAGCATGCCCCTGCGGCTTGCCACCATTCTTCAGGATCCCAGTCACCCTCCACCTGCCCTCTCTCTGGCTGCTGCTGTGCTGTGTGACCTGGGCTGAGCCAGTTAACCTCTCTGGGCTCTCATCACCCCATCTGAAACAAGGAGGCTGATCCCTAGGCTAACAATTACCAGGGTTATTGTGAGGACACATTGAGATAACGAGTTGTAAACCACTTTTCAGCTGAGAAAGTATCACACAGCTACGATGGCTCATCACTTCCCTGGCCTCCAACTCCCTCCGACTCAGCAGGAACCCGCTAATGGACACCAGGGGCCTCTCAGCACCTCCAGCTATTCAAACAAACACCTCTCCCCTCACTGCCCCTGCCCTGGACTGCCCTTTGGATACAGAGGCAAAGCTCCCAGCCTTCCCTCTGGTGCTGGGGAAAACCCGGCTGGACACAAGTCACAGCCTTCCTGCCTTCCCTCAACAGGGCATTCATTTTAGCTGAGCCCCTGCTGTGTGTTTCATGGGCACCCTCACACCTAATCCTCATGATTACCTCCACGAAGCTGGGCTTCATCTCCTCCATTGCACAGATTAGAAGCTACAGCTCAGAGAGGTGAAGTCACTGGCCTGGAGTCACATAGCTGTCAACCCAGTGGAGCCAGAATTCAAACTAGATCTCCATGCCCTTAATGGCCTCACCAATCCACTTCTCAGGAAATGGGTCTTGTGCCCATTTTGCAGAAGAAGAGACTGATGCTCAGGAAGCTGAAGTCACTTTGTCCAAGAAGCCAGGACGAGGAAGGGCCAGGCTGCCCACTCAGAGCTGCTGCTGGTACAATGCTCGTGTTCCCCCCCTGCAGCTAGATGTCTTGACCTGGATGCACAGATGAGACCCGTGACATCGACTCCCCTCTCCCCACCGCAGAGAAGCCAGGCTGGTTGACACCATCATTGTTGATGGAGAAACTAAAGCCAGACAGACCTAGGAGTTTGCCCAAGTCCTAGGGCAAAGAGTGCCAGCATGAGAACTGGGCCAAGCCATGTTCCCTCTCTGGACCTCAGTCTCCAGGTGTAGAGAAGTGCTGGACCCTGGCTTGGTCAAGCAGACCCCTTAAAGCCCCTCCAATTCCAGGAAGTTGTGGCCTGAGCAGAAATCCCCAAGCTGGGCTGATCACCAGAATTCCCTGGGAACATGCTTTAATCCCCAATGCTGGGCTGCACCCCCAGAATTCTGATTTGGTAGAACCAGGGAAGAGCCTCAAAACCTGCATTCTGTTTATCCACCACGACAGCAGTTCACAGCCCCCCACCACAAGCTTCTGTGATCAGCCAAGTCAAGATTTCCAATCTAGGACAATTTTCCCTACTTTGCATCCCTGGCATAGGGTGGGCAGCTTCACCCCACACCCCTGAGACAGAGATGAGATTTACCCCACTCACTGCAAGAACAGGTGCCACTGGAAAAAGAACTGGACTCCTTCATTCAGATATCCAATCAATGTCTAGCAGCACCAACAATGTCCCAGAGACGGAGCCAGGCCCTGGGACAAGCGGAAACATAAGTCGTGGTCCCTGCCCTCGCAAAGCACACTGACTCACAGGGAAGCCAACAGATAGCCAGATGGAACCCAGTCCCCTGCCTGCCTTCGCAGAGTTCACAGCTGGGATGGGAGGTGGACTCGGGGGCCTGTGGGGCTCTGGAGCCGGTCAGAGATGGCATAGAGGGGTCTCTGTTGCAGACCACTGCTCTGTTAGAACTCTGGACTTTGAATTGGGGTGAGCCCTTGAGATGTGCCAGCCTTCTTGCTTGAGTCATTCTTCATTTAGCAGATGTTTATCAGCCCCCACTAGGTGCCAGGCACTGTTTTAGGTGCCAGGGTGCAGCGGTAAATACAATGCCTTTGCTCTTCTGCTGTTTCTGTAACGGCGTGGCAAATAGTAAACAGCCAGAAGTAGCACAGCCTTCCGCAGCTCCCAACAGCTTTCCCCAGGGGCGATCTCTCTAAATCTGCCGCGAATCACGAGCTGGAAGCTTAGCCCCATTTTACAGATGAGCCACTGAGGTTCTGAATGCCATTTCCACAGCCTGTCTCCTCACACACATGGGCAGGCAACACCGCTGATGCTTCCCAACCAACCCTGCGTGTCGGCTGCTGATTAGAACTTTCCTGTTGCCACGGAAACCCCCCTGGGGAGGCCTGCCCTACTTTGCATCCCTGGCATAGGGCGGGCGGCCTCACCCCACACCCCTGAGACAGAGAGATGGGATTTATCCAACTCGCTGCAAGAACAGGTCCCACTGGAAAAAGAACTGGCCTCCCTCATTCAGATATTCAATCGATGTTTAGCAGCACCAACAATGTCCCAGAGACCGAGCCAGGCCCTGGGACAAGAAGAAACATAAGTCACGGTCCCTGCCCTCGCAAAGCACACTGACTCACAGGGAACCCGACAGAAAACCAGGTATGAGCCTGCCTGTGAGGCCGAGGACCACAGCAATGACGCCAGCAACTCAGGGCTGGGGACAATTCTGAGCCCTTCCCATGGATTCACTCATCTGCTCCTTCCATTAACTTTTGGGGTAGGTATCAATAGTATCCCCATATGACAGATGAGGAAACTAAGGGCTCAGAGAGGTTGAGAAGCTTGCCCTAGGTCACACAGCTGAGAAGCAGCAAAGCCAGAACCTGGAGCCAGGGAGATTCTGAGCCACACTGTAGGTGTTCAGTGAAGGGTTCCCAACTCCATCAGGGTGGTCCAGGAGGGTCTCCCAGGGAATGTCCTCCGAAGGGATCTCAGTAAGAGGAGATGAGGGTGGGGACAGGAGCATGGTGGAGCGGGGTTCTGAGATGCTGATCACTCAGTATTGGGGTCAGTGGCCTGGTCCTCCACTCCTTGTCTGGTGAGACTCAGTTAGGTCTTGAGACACATGACTTGGGAAAAGAAGATGTAATCCAGGTGGTCAGTGCTGGAGAGCGGCACATCAGCTACAAGGCACAGGCCCCCTGAAAAGGCTGAAACGCCTCTGGAGGCTTCCAAGGGAGCAGTTTGGGACGGGTGCACACACACTCCGCTGCCTGCCCATCTTCACACCCTTGGGCAACAGCTCCCTATACCTCCACACCTGTGAGGAGGAGAGACTCAGACCACGGCCAGGCTTAGTCCTTGCAGTACCTGCACAAAAAGACTTTTATTTCCAGGTGAGTGTAACAGTTACACATGTGGATTATGGCGCTGATGACTCTGAAAATGCAGAGAATAGTCAGTCCTGGGTAGATCATAACATTGTCGCAAGGGCTAGAGGAGCCGACACCTGCAAAGTTCACAGTGCTTGGCACAGAGGGTGTGTAAATGCGAGCCGTAACTATCTCTGTGGCACATAGATGCACACAGATCTGCATTTTTACAGTTATGTGTGTGCAGGTGTACAAGCCCATGCACACTGTGAGTGCACACCCGTGACAGCACCTTCGTGTCTCACCAGTATATCTGTAAACCTACCTCCTCAAGTGGGTTTGAATGGACACTAGCTGTGTGGGAGTTAGCGGGGAGGTGCCACTAAACACAAGCACCCACAGGTGTCTGCAGGGAGGGAGGGCGCGGGCACGCCCATCCCCAGCGAGTATGTGCCTTCCTGTGTGTGCACCTGGGCCTGGATATTGGCGGGGGTTGGGCGGTGGGGGGGCGAGGATATGTGGTTTGAGGTTGAAGCATTACAGACATGTGCTTTAATTTATGTTGCGATGAGGAAGGATCTGGCTGTGTTTTTCTCCTCGAACCACTGTGATGTAAAGAAATCTCAGCTCTGCAAAACAAAGATCAATCAGCAGGGGGAAAAAAGCACTTAAGGCTTAAACCTCCCACCACAGGCCCCCAGGGAGTGTTAAAGCCACAGTTCAGGAAAGAGAAACATGATTAAGATTGAAGTCAGGAGTCCACAGAGCTGGAGTCAAGCCAGTCAAGGGCCTTCGTGTTTTCCCAGAAAGGAGGCTTCCCGGAGGAAGCCATGACCCCTTGGAAAACACTCAAAAGCCTGTCTGGGCCCCAGCCTTCCCCAGCCAATTGAGAAGATGAGTCTTCTTGGGAGAAAAACAAACCCTGCTTTCCCCACCATTACCTTGGATCTTACTCCAGGTGGGAGGGACTAGAAAGGAAAGACTGCTTGGGAGATTGCCCTGAAATAAGGCCTCCCCTTCCTCCTCCCCAGGAGGGCATCTGTGCCTCAAGCTATCAGCAGCTATACAAGACCACAAGTCCAAGTAGCAAGGAGGAAAACAGACCTTGGAATGAGAAGCCCCCCCTGCTCATTTACCGCTTGAGAGTTTTCGAAGGCATCACCTGGCAAATCTGCGGTGCACGCAGTGAGACTCACTTCCTTGCTTGAGATCACACAATTTTTCATCAATAAAGCTAAGACTCAATCCCTTGTCTGACTCCACTTCTGGTGTCATTTTCTTTACATCACAGTACTGCCCAATGTCATTGTGGGGACCAGTACATGCTACCCCAAAATATGAAGGATTGTTGAGCTGAAGGCAATAAGAAGCAGCAGGCCAGGCACAATGGCTCAAACCTATAAACCCATCACTTTGGGAGGCTGAGGCGGGGGGATCAACTGAGCCCAGGAGTTTGAGACCAGTCTGAGCAACATAAGGAAACCCTATCTCTACCAAAAAAAAAAAAAAATTTAATTAGCCAGGCATGCAAAACAATCCTAAGCAAAAAGAACAAAGCTGGAAGCATCTCATTACCTGACTTCAAACTATACTACCAGGCTACAGTAACCAAAACAGCATGGTACCAGTATAAGAACAGACACATAGACCAATGGAACAGAATTGAGAACTCAGAAATACGACGACACACCTACAACCATCTGATCTTCGACAAACCTGACAAAAACAAGCAATGGGGAAAGGATTCCCTATTTAATAAATGATGCTGGCAGAACTGGCTAGCCCCATACAAAAACTGAAACTGGACCCCTTTGTTACACCATATACAAAAATTAACTCAAGATGGATTAAAGGCTTACATGTAAAACCCAAAACTATAAAAACCCTAGAAGTAAGTCTAGGCAATACCATTCAGGACATAGGCACAGGCAAAGATTTCATGATGAAAACACCAACAGCAATTGCAACAAAAACAAAAATTGACTAATGAGATCTAATTAAACTAAAGAGCTTCTGCACAGTAAAAGAAACTATCATCAGAGCGAACATACAACCCACAGAATGGGAGAAAATTTTTGCAATCTATCCATCTGACAGAGGTCTAATATCCAGAGTCTACAAGGAACTTAAACAAATTTACAAGAAAAAAATCAACCTCATTAAAAAGTGGGCAAAGGTCACGAACAGACACTTCTCAAAAGAAGACAATCATGCAGCCAACAAACCTAAAAAAAGCTCCACATCACTGATCATTAGAGAATGCAAATCAAAACCATAATGAGAAACTATCTCATGCCAGTCAGAATGGCTATTATTAAAAAGTCAAAAAACAACAGAGGCTGGAGAGTTGCAGAGAAAAAGGAATATTTTTACACTGTCGGTGGGAGTATAAATTAGTTCAACAGTTGTGGAAGACCGCATGGCAATTCCTGATAGACCTAGAGGCAGAAATACCATTTGACTTAGCAATCCCATTACTGGGTATAAACCCAAAGAACATAAATCATCCTATTATTAAGATACATGCACTTGTACGTTCACTGCAGCACTATTCACAACAGCAAAGACATGGAATCAACCTAAATGTCCATCAGTGATAGACTGGATAAAGAAAATGTGTTACATATACACTGTGGAATACTATGCAACCATAAAAAGGAATGAGATCATGCCCTTTGCAGGGACATGGATGGAGTTGGTTGGAAGCCATTATCCTCAGCTAACTAATGCAGGGACAGGAAACCAAACACCACATGTTCTCACTTATATGTGGGAGCTGAACAATATGGACACAAGGAGGGGAACAACACACACTGGGGCCTGTCGGAGAGTGGGGTGTGGGGAGAGGGAGAGCATCAGGAAGAGTAGCTAATGGATGCTGGGCTTAAAACCTAGGCGATGGGATGATCTGTGCAGCAGGCCACCATGGCACACGTTTACCTGTGTAACAAACCTGCACATCCTGCTCTTGCACCCCTGAACTTAAAAGTTAAAGGAAAAGTCCGGGCACGGTGCCTCACACCTGTAATCCAGCACTTTGGGAGGCCGAAGCAGGCGGATCATGAGGTCAGGAGTTCAAGACAAGCCTGGCCAACATAGTGAAACCTCATTTCTACTAAAAATACAAAAATTAGCCAGACATGGTGGCACATGCCGGTAGTCCCAGCTACTTGGAAGGCTGAGACAGGAGAATCTCTTGAACCCAGGTGGCAGAGGTTGTGGTGAGCTAAGATCGTACCACTGCCCTCCAGCCTGGGCGACAGAGCGAGACTCCATCTCAAAAAGAAAAAAAAAAAGTTAAATGAGAAAGAAAGAAATAAGCCAGGCATGATGGTGCGTACCTGTGATTTGAGAGGCTAAGACGGGAGGTGTGCTTAAGCCCAGACGGTGGAGGCTGCAGTGAGCTGTGATGGCGCCACTTCACTCTAGCCTGAGCAACAGAGTGAGTGAGACCCTGCCTAAAAAAAAAAAAAAGCAGATACAGGAAAACTCTCGACCCTCCCTCCATTGGCCTAAAAGCAGAACATAGATTTACAAAGACAAAAAGCATCGTAACCCTCTTCTACCAGGAAGAACAAAGGTTAACTGTTGGAGACAACTGTAGATGCCCACCATCTAGGGGTGACAGCAGAGAGATGGACACTCCCCAGCTTTACTAACCTTGAGCTGCCAGTTATTACCTTTCCCCAAGTTGCCACCCGGGGAAACGCAAGGTTATTTTCCTGTGCCTTGTCACTGCTCTAGAAATTGACTGTTCTTTACTGAAGATGTTCTATGAGCTGGAATTCAAACCAGCTCTCTGAGAACTACTCATTCCCTGGCTGTCTCCCATATGGATATGAAATATCCATGTTAATAAACTTTGGTTTGTTTTCTCTTGTTAATCTGTCTTTTGTAACAGCAGTGCTTTCCAAGAACCTATGAGGGTTGAAGAAAATCTCCTACAAAATATACCAACAGCGATGCTCATAATAAAATAGCATGAGGCCTGCTCTCAGGGAATGTACTGGCACAAAACTAGACAGTCAGAAACAGGGGCTGCTTTGTGCGGCTCCTAGACGAAGAGTCACAGCAAAGGAGGGCTCCCAGGGCCTGGGTGGGCAGGAGTGCTCCCAGAGGATGGGGAGCTTTTCTGGGAGCCTTAGAGGATAAGTAGTGTTTGGATAAGTTGTGGGGACCAGGGGCATTCTATGCAGGGAGACATTATGAGGAAAAGGGCGAAGACCAGAAGGAACTTGACGTGGTGGGAGTGGGGTAGGGAGATGGACATGAGTGGTCTGGATGGGAGACTGTCTGTTGAGCAGAAAGGGAAATGATGAGGCTGGGTGGACCAGATGGCCTGGGTCATAAATAGGAGGCCCCAGAGAGACAACTGTGAGCTTCTTACCATGCTCAGGCCAAAGGTAATGCAGGCCATTCAGCAGGTACTTAACATCTTTCCAGATGGATAAATGGATGGAGGGATAGATGGAGGAATGGATGGACGGATGGTTGGATGGGTAGATGGATGGAGGGATGGATGGATGGAAGGAAGGAAGGAAGGAAGGAAGGAAGGAGGGAGGGATGGATGGATGGATGGTTGGATAGGTAGATGGATGGAGGGATGGATGGATGGAAGGAAGGATGGATGGAGGGAGGGATGGAAGGAAAGAAGGATGGATGGATGGAAGGAATGAATGAAGGAAGGATGGATGGATGAATGGAAGGGTGGAAGGAAGGAAGGAAGGATGGATGGATGGAGGGAGGGAGGGAGGGATGGATGGATGGATGGTTGGATAGGTAGATGGATGGAGGGATGGATGAATGGAAGGAATGAAGGATGGATGGATGGATGGAGGGATGGATGGATGGAAGGAATGAAGGATGGATGGATGGAAGGAATGAATGAAGGAAGGATGGATGGATGAATGGAAGGGTGGATGGATGGATGAATAGATGGATGGAAGGACAGATCTATTCATGTATGAATACATAAATAGTACGTGGTGGGAAAAGTGAGTGTGGTAACAGGAGCTCTAAGCTGGGAACTTGGAGTCTAAAGCTCAGGTCCCTGCCCTGCCACTAACCAACCGCCAGAGGGACACCTCTGGGCCTCAGTTTCCTCATCTGTAAAGCCCTGGTGATTCTTGAGAGTTCATCACACTTCTTTGTAGAAGATGCAGGGTCTCAGGCAAGAAAGTCTACTTTAATAAGCAGCCCCGAGGAAGCTGGCAGCAGGGGCCCTGCCCTCCTGCTAAGAAAACCACCACTAGGGAGAAGAGGAGAGCCCAGACCTGACTGAACGTACCTGCTGTCACTTTCCCTCCCTGGCCCACAGTTCCAGCAGATTCACTCCAGCATTTCAGGGTTCTATGACACTTGTCTGAGGGGCCTGATTTATAGGAGAGAAGAGCCCAGCCTCACCCCTCCCTTACCCCACTTAGGATGTGAAAGCAACTTGGGAAAAGAATTTATTCTCAGCTCCTGGAATTACCCTTCACTTTCCTGGCAGATAAATGGGGCAAAACAGAAGATGCAGTTGCATTTAAATGGAGTGAGGCAGGTGGAAGTTTATAAGATTTGAATATGCTTTTTGGCTGCTTTTGAATATTCATTTGCCCAAGGGAGAATTGGGCAGCCAGAATCTATGGGTCTAAAGGAGGTTATTTAAGGTTGGGGGGTAAGGGTTGGCAGGAATCCCTGTTCATCAGAATCTCGGGAGCTAATTGTGATTCTTCACTAGCTAAAATGTCACAGGCTCAGAGTAAATTCTGGGAGTTGATATACCTCATGGTTACTGTTGCCATAGCAACTGCCTCCCTGTGACCGTGTGTACCAGCAGCTCACAGCTGACAAGACAAGCCCAAGGAGGTGAATGATGGGGAGCCAGCCCAGGACTCCAGCAGGCCCCCAAGAGTTCTAAAACATGTCTCAGAAAGCTAGAATACACTATGGGGTTGTATCCTTGAGAATTCTGAAACAGAGCCCAGAGCACTGGAAGAAGTCTGGAATTCCAAAATCTGTCACCAGATTCCAGCATACTTCCCCCAAGGTCCAGAACACACCCCAGAGATCCAAAGACTACCCTCCATTTCTGTCAGTCTCTCCAGGCATGAACCTCCAAATCCTAAAACATGCCCCTGGAGAGCTAGAGCAGGCCCTTAAATTCTTCTCTCCCTCTTTAATTGATTCTTCCTGGGAACCGGTTTTCTATCTGAACTGCAAGAATTAAGGAGTGCTCAGGGCTTGTGTTGGAACATGGTCAGCAGGGGTGACCTGCAGAGTGAGCATATGAAGGTCTTGTCCTGATTCCTTGGAAACACAGGAAATCACAGATGTGCCCCAACACATGCCAGGCCTCAGAGTCAGGGGTAGCTCCCCTGGCCCAGGCATCCCTGGTACACTTCATGACACTGTGCCTTGTTCTCTGCAGTGAGGATGATTCGTCCCTGACGCATCCCTGCTCCCTGCCAAGGCTCCTCTGTGACCATTAGCACATCAATCCAGGGGCACTTAGGAGGGGGTGAAATTGGAGGACCTCCTGGCGCTTGGCGAAGCTCCTCTCTCTCTCTCTTTTGAAACGAAGTTTTGCTCTTGTTGCCCAGGCTGGAGTGCAATGGCATGACCTTGGCTTACCGCAACCTCCACCTCCCAGGTTCAAGCAGTTCTCCTGCCTCAGCCTTCCATATAGCTGGGATTACAGGCATGCACCATCATGTCTGGCTAATTTTTGCACTTTTAGTAGAGACAGGGTTTCTCCATGTTGGTCAGGCTGGTCTCAAACTCAGGTGATCCACCCACCTCGGCCTCCCAAAGTGCTGGGTTTACAGGCATGAGCCACCACACCTGGCCCGTGAAAGCTCCTCTTTACCCAGGCAGTCTGAGGTGGGACGTGGCTGAGTTGGGAAGACTCACCCTCGCCGCCTGGGGCTGGGGGACCTTCCTGTCTGCAAGCCCACCCCTCCCCGACCATCCCTGATGGCAGTCACTCAACAACTCCTGAACAAGGGCACCACCCCCCAAGCTGGGTAGGAAGCCTCAGCGCTATCTCAGACTCTTCTCTCTTCCTTCCCCTCCACATTAATTCGCTGCTCAATCCGCTCCATTCTTTGTTTCTTTCTCGCCTGGATCCCATCCCTGCTGCCATCCCCACTGCCTGATTCAGCCCTCGTTATCACTCAGCCTCCGCTCCTGCCCTCTCCATCTCACTGCCCAAATGCAAGACCCTGGTGACTTCACCGCTCTGCCCAAAGCGTCAATGCCTGCTGCCGTGTGCTGCCCATCAGGCACATTGTCTCACCTGGGCATTCAAGGCCCCCAGATATCTGGCCTTTTCCAACACTCAGTTTCCCCTGACTCCTCATGGTTGTCTGAAATAGTCCCAAACTCCTGCCCTCCCAAAACTTTGTTTCTCCTCTCTTCCCCCTCGAGGGCTCTTTGCACCATCTCTAAATCTGCAAGCCAGTTTAAGGGCCACCTACCTCCTCGGAGACTACTGAAATCATTATTGAACTTGCCCTTCTCTGAAACCCTGGAACTTCTTGGCTGTATCACTGTTTTTAGAATTAGCTATGGGTTGTCAGAGCTGCGAGGAGTCTGAAGTAATGAAGTCCAGTGGTTTTTGTTTTGTTTTGTTTTGTTTTGTTTGAGACGAGCTTTGCTCTTGTTGCCCAGCCTAGGCTGGAATGCAGTGGTGCAATCTCAGCTCACCACAACCTCTGCCTCCCGGGTTCAAGGAATGCTGTAATCCTGAGTAGCTGGGATTACAGGCATGCGCCACCACACCCAGCTAATTTTGTATTTTTAGTAGAGACAGGGTTTCTCCAAGTTGGTCAAGCTGGTCTCGAACTCCCAACCTCAGGTGATCCTAATGCCTCGGCCTCCCAGCAGTGGTTTTGTGGTTTCTTTTAATTTCAAATTTTATTTTAGATTCAAGGTGTACCTGTGTGGGTTTGTTATGCGTATATTGTGTGATGCCGAGGTTTGGGTATGATTGATCCCATCACCTAGGTAGTGAGCATGGTACCCAAAAGGTAGCTTTTCAATGCAGTGGTTTTCAAACTTGGCTTTGTGACACTCTGGTGGGAGTGGGACCTTAAAGACTGTAGGAGGAGGGTGGTCCTGAGAAATGGTCCAGCCAGCAGGGACACAGCCCTCTATACCTCCTCCAACTCAAAGCAACCTCACCTTGATCTGTCTTAGACGGTCATTCATTCATTCATGCATGCGTCCATTCATTAGCTGTTTACTGAGCACCTTTACTGTATCAGCTTCTATCAATAAGACAGTGAACAAAGAAACTAAACCTCTAGGCTCATGAAACTTTCAAGCTGCTGGGGAAAACAGACAAGAAACATATTAATAAATAAAGACACAAGAAAATCTCTAAAGTGGTAAGTGCTGAGGACACAATAGGATGGGGGTAAGAAACAGAATGCGGTGGAGTGCTCAGGGTATCATTAGATGGTCTGGCTGGGGAAGCCTCCCTGAAAAAGTAACATCTGAGCTGACCCCTGAATGGCAAGATGAGAGCCAGTGATGCACAGAGAATTCTAGGGAAAGGATCATCATGGAAAAGAAAAGACCAGTGCAGAGGCCCCGAGGCAGAAGCAAACCTGTCATCTTTAAAATCACAGAGGGCAGAAAGCAGTGGCAGAGCTGTCCAAGATGAGATTTCTGTAGCCAATATCTGCTTGGAGAAATGGGATTTTTCTGGAAAAAAAAAAAAACAAACAGATAGACGTATAGATATAACCCATTGACCTAGTCTAATCCTGCCACTTCACAGAAGAAAAACGGTGAACGCAGAAGATCCAACGTGTCCCAGGATTGCCCAAGGTCCAACTAAGAGCTGGTGGCAGAGCCGGGACCAGTGCCTAGGTCTCAGGATGCTGCCCCGGGCACCATCTGTCACTCCTTGTGAGCAGGTCACCCAGGGCAGGCCTCCCTGGCCTTTGCCTTTTCCTGCCACTGGGACAACCACACCCTACCCTGCACATAAGCGAGAAGTGTGAATGAGATAATGTCTCCCAGGCCAGCCGAGCTCCAGGGAGCAAGCAAGACACAAATAAAAGGCTTTATTGGATTTGTTAAACACGCATCCTGTGGCCAAGGGCCTCCTGGCACCAGACAGCATCACAGAGGGAAAAAAGAAAAGCAGATGATGAAATTAAAAGGCATTTCATTTCCAGAGCCAAGGCTGACATGCACAAATCCAGAATGTGTCCCTCCATGGCTTCTCACCCACCTGTCTTCCTGCCTCCCCAGCCTCTATCTGATGCAGCCACTCTGGCTGTGGTCACAGCTCACACTGTGGCACAGGGCCTCCTACGTGGCTATCTTGAGGCATCTGACCCAGGAATCAAAGACCCAGAAGGGATTCTGGGGAAAGAGAAAAACATGAGAGGTGCCTGAGAGGTCATGGAGTCCATCCCCCCGTCCCCAGGCATGATCTGAACTTGCTAGCCTCTTCCACATATGAGCGCAGGCCCCAAACCAGGAGAGGGCAGCTCAGGCTAAAGCCAGAGAAGGAGCTAGAGGGGTGGACAGGGAGAAGTCAGACAGGCCGGGTCCACGGTCCAGCTCTCCTACTGGCCAGCTCTACAATATTGGCAACTCACTGTACCTTCATGAGCCTCAGTTTCCTCTGCTGCAAGAGAAGAAATGCCCATGGTAAGGATGAAATGAGGTGTTTTGGTGTAAAGCTCCTGGCATGTAGAGGGCACTGACAAGTACGGGTTTCAGAGGCATCTGGAGCCCCAGTTTTCCACGTGACCTCCACAGGGGTGGGAGGAGGATCTGTGGTTCTTAACTCCCCCCGACACTCCACCAGACTCACCACAGTTTCCCCAGAGTCTCTGATCAGAGCAAACTGTTTGTGTCTGATTACATTAAATTGCATAATATTTTCACTGCTTTCCCCAAGAGCATCAGCTGATTTCTCTCTGTTCATTTCTCTCTGTGTGTGTGTGCGCATTGGTGTGCTTGTGTGTGTATGCTTGTGTGTGCTTGTGTGCGCTTGTATGTGTGCTTGTGTGCGTATGCTTGTGTGTGTGTGCACTTGTGTGTGTATGTGTGTGTGTGCATGTATGTGTGCTTGTGTGTGTGCTTGTGTGTGTGTATGTGTGTGCGCATGTGTGTGTGTGTGCATGCACAGAGAAATTCTGTTATGTTACCAAAGCCGAGGTTACATTCCTGTCTGTGCTGCCCTCAAGAAAGGATCCATGGCAATTGGCAAGCATCCTAAGGAAATGAGACGGTTTGTAGATTTCTTAAGAGAAGATCATGTCATTCATTGCTGGCCCTTTTCAATGGTTTTTCCAACAAACATCTTTTGAGCACTTCGTGTGTACAAGGCAATGTATTGGTTAAATGTATTTTGTTCACAAAAGTGAACAAAACAGCCCCACTTTCTTTCCTGCTGGAGCTTACGTGTCAGGGCTGTGGGACGAGATGATGAAGAAGACCTGTAATCTGTCAGATGATCCAGTTCAAAGGGTGCTGATAAACGAGCCCACGCCAGCCTGAGGAAGTCTCTCATGGCATGCCATGGGATTCTGTCTTTGGGATTTCTCGTCAAGTGCACAACAGTTGAGGAATCCTGGAGACAAGCAACTTCAGGGCATTCACCCAAAATGTTACAGGACACCTACTCTGTGCCAGACACTCACTATTCCAGGCACTGGGGTCACAGCTGTGAACAAGACAGACCAAAATCTCTGTCCTCATGGGGTTTACATTCCAGTTAAGGAAGACAGACAGTCAGTCAAGAAATAAGCTAAAGAGAGAAAATGTTCAGAGGCTGGTAAGTGCTGTGAAAAAAATAAGGGGTGGGGGCTAGAGAGTACTGGGAGACAGGGGTGGGGATTTTAAAGAAAATGATCAAGGAAGGCTTTGCTGAGAAGATAACATTGCAGCAAAGGCCCAAGGGAGGAGAAACAAACCAAGCAAACCACCTAGATGATATAGAGCATTCTGAACAAATGGGAAGCAGGTGCAAAGGCCCTGGGGTGGCAGTGCACCTGGCATGGAGGCATGTATGTAAACAGCATCTTTTTACCAACAAGTATCTTAGTGGCCTGACTGACCCAAAAGAAATAAACAGAGAGAAATCAGATGCCCTTGGGGAAAGCAGTAAAAATATAATGCAATTTAATGTAATTAGACACAAATAGTTTGTTCTGATCAGCCAGTGTGCCTAGAGCAGAGTGACCAAGGGGAGATGAGCAGGAAATGAGGTCAGAGGGGAGACAAAGAGGGGACCACTGCAGGAATCCAGGTGGCCAATGAGCGTGCTTTCCCCAGGGCAGACATACAGTACAGTGGCTAAACATGGGCCCTACAGCCAGGTTGCTGGGATCAAGATTGACCAGCTATATCAACTTGGACAAGTGACTTTGACTTTTCATTCCTCAGTTTCCGCAACCATGAAATGGACATGGTAAGAGTGTCTTCTTCCCAAGGGGGCTGTCAGGGTTATATGAGCTAAGGCTGATACTAGGATTTGGTACATGTTACGTACTTAAATGTTAGAACTTTAACTTGATGGTGGAGAGAACTGGCCAACACCACCTTAATTAACCAAGCAGTCAAGGTTGACATCACCCGTGATGTCGTGTGATACTGCGCACCTCCAGTACAATAGGAGACGGTGGTCCACCCCTGTGATGCATGTTCCAACAGCCCGTAAGCCCAGTCTAGTCAGGAGAAAACATCAGACAAACCCTAACTGAGGGACGCTCTACAACACACCTGGCCCATCCTCCTCAAAACTGTCAAGGTCAGGAAAACCAAGGAAAGGCTGAAAAACTGTCACAGACCAGGGGACACTAAGGAGACATGAAGACTAAATGTGAGGTGGGACCTTGGATTGGATCTTGGAGCAGAAAACATTCGTGGAAAGACTGGAAATATCCAAATAATGGAATTTAGTTCATGGTGATGTACCAACGCTGGTTTCTGAGTCTGAGCAAATGTACTGTGGTCATGTACGATGTTACAATAGGGAAAACTCGGTGGCGAGGTGAGGATGGGATGTTCATTTGTATTAAACTCCCCAAAGGTTCAAAATGGTATCTTTATATTATTCATTCAACAAATATGTAAACTCCACTCAATCTACAGGATCTCAAGGGAGAGATAAGAACCAAGCAAGAACATAAGGACTGGAAAGGAGGATGAGTTTTCTTTTTTTTTTAGATGGAGTCTTGCTCTGTCACCTGGGCTAGAACGCAGTGGCGTGATCTCGGCTCAATGCAACCTCCACCCCCCCGGGTTCAATCCACTCTCCTGCCTCAGCCTCCCGAGTAGCTGGGACTACAGGTGTCCACCACCATACCCAGCTAATTTTGTATTTTCAGTAGAGACAGGGTTTCACCATGTTGGCCAGGCTGTCTCAAATTCCCAACCTCGAGTGATCCTCCAGCCTCAGCCTCCCAAAATGCTGGTATTACAGGCATGCGCCACCACGCCTGCCAAGGAGGAGTTTCTAATAATGTTATCTATCCCTGAAAAGGATGGCTTCTCCACTATGGGAAGAGCTCAAACAGATGCCAGAAGAACACTTTGCCTTGGAGACCACACTCTAGCATTCAAAAAAGGAGGCTGCAAAAGACTCTGGGCATTCTAGTCTCCACCTTCTCATCTGAGTCTCTGAAAGGTCTCCAAGTCTGAGCCCAACCACCATGGGTTGGCCCAGGTCACACTCTCTCTTCCTGTCCCTGACAAAAGCTGTGGCTGGCAGGAGTGAGCTGCTCAAATATTTTACTGTTGACACAACCACACATCACCACAGGTCATCACTGTCAGTCATTCAGCAAACCCTCAGTATGGCAGAAGGTCACAGAGTTCAGAACACAAGCAAGCTTGGAGAGGTCCCATCTCAGCTGTGCCACCTCTAATGGTGTGACCATGACCACAGCCCTTTACCTCTCTCAGCCTGATTCTTCATTCAAAAACTGGACTAATAACAGAACCTACCTCAGGGTTGGTGTAAGTGCTCATTAAAAGATGACTATGAGTATTATCATTACACTTATGCAGCAGGCACTGTGCTGGACGCAAGCAGGGCGCAAAGCTGAACAAATCCAACTCTAACGGTCTCTTGGAGGGAAGTCAGGTGTTGAACAATTAATTACAATGCAGGAAATAAGTACTATTGGGGTATCTATCAGGCCAGAACACCATGCCAGGCCTCCAGCCCCAAATCTCAAGGCTTCAGGGAAAGAACTAGAGGGGCTCCTCCCACCCTGACTTTAGCTGGAGCTGGCAATCTGCCAAAGAGGACCTGGCATTGAAAATCAATGTGCCTTGATTACAGAAAAACTCTTTCTGACTTTGTAAAGATGCAACAAAAAGACAGACTTCCCCCAAATCCTCAGGGCAGGCCCCCAATCAGCCCTCATCTTCCCCTTGACAGCCTTGCCCGGTCACCCCACCAGCCTTTGCCTCCTGCCATATCTCTTTCTTGCAGGTACCCCGAGCGCTGTTCTTCACCTGATGCCCACTGCCCCATGGCTGCACCAGGGAGGCCTCAGTTCCCCCAGTGATGACTGTCCCCAGCTTGGCCAGCAGGCAAGGACATGATGTGTCAGAGCCAGGCTGTTTAGAGACTAACGCTGAGTGCAGCTAGGCCAATCCCAAAGTGGCAGAGGACCAAGCTGCTGGACCAGGAACTCAGCCAGCTGCCCAGGGCACCAGGAGGAAGTCAGGCGGAAGCACCCACTGCTGGGCAGCACAAAGGAATGGGCCAGGGCCGGGGAGGGCTGGCTCGGAGTCATAGCCCTTTTTGTTGCATGCCTACTCTGCACCAGGCACTGTGCAAATGATCACACTCAGTATCTCATTGGATCCCCATGGAAAAAGGGACTATTTTTTTTCTCCATTATTTAGATAAGCAAATTGAGACCCGCAGCATGGAGGAGCTTCCACAGGTCCCACAGCTGGTGGATGGCAGAGCTTGATTCCCCATTCAAGCCCACACACGAGCCACTCCCCTGGTCTGTATCATCTGCTCCTCTAGAGCCTCCTGGGCTGCAAGCCTTGCATGGGCTCTTGGGACAATGAGCTGAACAAGACACAGTCCCTGTCCTGGAGTAGTTCACAGTTAAGGGTGGACAGAGAGCAGCGGCCATTTGCAAGAAACTTGATTGATTGTCCCTGCTGGAAGGACACTCATGGCTCTGACACAGCATGCAAGCAACAGCTGACTGTGCCCTGGTCCTGGGGACTTCCCTGAGGTAGCATCCTAGAGCTGGACCTTGCAGGGTTTTCTCAAGGGATTGCCCTTCCAGCAAGGGGAACCTTAGGAGCAAGGGCAGCCTGGTTCTGTTCTAACTTCTGACCCCAAGTCACAGAGCTGAGTCTTATTCCTTGGGCCTTGCAAAGGGCCTGCTTTTAGCATCCTGGGCAGCAGCCGGGGCTTTAGCCAAATCCCCCATCTTCCACTTTCTAGCGGTGCGATTTTAATCCTCAAAACAACAGTAATAATGCATGGATGGAAACATGGATTAATTAGTTAATAGGGGAGGGCTGCAGACCCAGAGCTCCTGGCTGGAACCAGGTCAGTTCCAGAACCTGGACGAAGGCCAAGCAATCATTCATTCATGCCAGCAGGTAACACGTATTTGCTGAGCACCTACTATGTGCATGCCAAGCAATGTTCTAGGTGCTGGGGATACCACAGAGAACAAAATAAGCTAAAATCCCTGCCCTCGAGAGGGGAGATCAACTATAAATAACTTTAAAAGGAAGCATAAATGTGTCTAATGCCCAGAGTTGCTATAGAGAAAGATGAAGTCGGATAAGGAAGGTAGGGAGGCCCCAGAGTGAGGGGGGTTTTACTTTTAGATGGAAGGGTCAAGGATGCATCACAAGTGTCCTGGAGGAGATGAGGAAGTGAGCCCCGCAGATATCTGGAAGAAGAGTGTTCCAGGTAAAGGGAAGAGTGGGGACCTTGCCTGTGTGCTGCGAGGTGGCCAGGAAGCCAGTGTGCCCGGGAAGGTGTGTAAAGCAGGATCACACAGGGCCTTGGCCTTCGTTGGGATTTGGGCTCTCATTCAGAGTAAAACAGGAGCCACAGGGGAGCTTTAGGAAGAGGGGTGACAGTATGACAGAACATGCGGCTGCGCTAAATACAAAGACAGAAAGAGGGAGGCCGGTGAGGAGGTTATTGTGACATCCAGGTGAGAGACAGTGGAGGCGTGGTCCTGGGTGGAGGTGGTGAATTCTGAATATGTTTTGAAGGTAGAGTTCACTGCATTTGCTGAGAGATTGCATGTGAGGTATAAAAGAAAGAGACGAGTCAAGGCTGGCACCCGAGTTTTGACCTTGGCAACTGGAAGCACGGAGCTGCAGTGCTGGGATGGGGAAGTCAGTGAGAAGAGAGGGCATCCACATAAAGATGGCAGCTTGGGCATGCACAGCCACCACGATGCCAACGTCATCCCTTGGGTGCTCAAAGAGCAGTAATGAGATTTCTTTAAATATCTGAAGGAATGAGCCCACAGGAGGGGAGAAGAGGAGAGGGGACAATAACATCAAAATTTCAGGAGGTTGAAAACGAATGATTAAGAAAAATGCATCAGAAAGAATAGTCCCCCAAAGGCTCAGGGCTTGGCGGCACCAATTACCTCTGGAAGCTGAGGTGAAGGAGAAATTAAAATGAAGAGGGTCTTTGAAAGGCTGTTTAAGAAGCTGTCATTGCCCCAGACTAGGCTCCTCTAGACCGGGGGATACCAGGCTCAGTGCATGCAGTGGCACTCTGTTGACGACACAGAGTTTCCATGAAAATGGGCAGTCTGGATGCCAAGACCCCAACCATGACAAACCACTCTGCTCTTGGAACACTGGCAGCCAGACTTGTATCCTCCAGACAGACCACTGGAAGAGTCTTCTCTGGGGACCATGAGAAACCCTAGTGATATCAACATTGAAGTTTCTGCAATTAAACAGCCAAGTCACATCATCCTACAAGGAAGCCCACAGCCCACAAGACCCACTCACATGCTCAGAGCTTCTAATCAGCCCATACTTTCCTATTTTAAAATACATACAGGATAACTGAGGTTTACCAGACATCAGAAGAAAGCCTGTAATCTGAAAGATAAAGAACAAAACACAAAGAAAATACCAACTTGAAGATAACAGAGAATACCAAGGAGGGTGGGAGAGAACTTCCCTAATATCATCAGAGAGACGACAAAAGACATGCATGAAATTAAAATAGGATTCTAATTTTAAAAAGGCAGAGAACAAAATAAAAGAGCTTTTAAAAATTGAAAACGCCATGGCAGAAATTAAAAAGGAAAAGTTGGAAGACAGGGTTGAGCTCTTCTAGAGTGACAGATGCAGAAACTGGAAGAGAAGTGTCTTTAAATTAGGATTTGTCCAAGAGTTTAATCTTCTAGATAGAATTTTTTTAAAGTAGAGGAAAGGGAATCATCAATGAAATCATTCAAGATAATTTCACAGACGCAAAGAACAGGTTTCTAGATTTCAAGAACTCACAGAAGGCCCAGGACAGTAAGTGAAAATAGACAACAATGTGTCTATTTTCACTGTTAAATAGACACAGCAAGGCACATTATTGTAAATTGTCACTACCCTGGGAACTAAGAGAAGATTCTCTAAACTTCTAAACTGAAAAGATTAGGAATAGAGAATAGCTTCCTTCTGATACCAATACTGAAAGCCAGAAGGCAGTAGAGTAAAGCCTTCAAATTCTGAAGGAAAATAATTTCCAGCCCAGAATTCTACACCTAGCCTAAAACCCAGCAAAGCATGGGAAAAGAAGAAAGACATTTTCAGATGTCCAAAGTCTCAAAAAATCAACATTCCATGTATCTTTTCTCAGGAAGTACTAGGGGATATGCTCCACCAAAACAAGGGAATAAAATAAGAAAGAGGAAGAGATGGGATACTGGAAATTGAACATCCGATACAAGAGAGAGACAGGAACGAGGTTAACAATGAAGAGAGAGCCTAGGATGACACCTGAGTGCCCGGTGTAAAAAGCAACCAGTGCAGCCTTAAGCAGCTCATGAGGCTCTGGAAGACCTCACTGAGAGGATGAAATTCACAGAAAACTTGATGCACCTAATTGTCTTGAGAGAAAATTTACACTATTGGTCAGGAGTTTGGTGTACTTAATTAGTTACAAGTACAAGCAAACAAATATACCTTTTCAAAAGGCAACTAGTAACTCCAGGGAAAACAAAAACTTGCGCAGAGAAAGAAAAGAAATTACAGCATTATTGGAAGGATAGGAGAACGGAGAGAGCAAGATAAGAACTGGGAAGAAGAGCAAAGAGCTAAATCATCATCTTCCCTACTGCAAAGTCAAACAGCTAGAGTTCCGCTTCTGTCATGGAAATGTGAGGCTCTCTGCAGATTTGTTCTCTTGTGAAACTGCTGGAAATTATTTTTAAAACACTATTTAAAGTCCCTGGAAATGGTCCTAAGAGCATACAGCAAATAAAGAAATGTTTATTCAGGAAAACCTACGAAAACTCCATAAGAATAGCAAGATTCTGTGACCTTTGAACCGTGATCCACTCCCTCCCTTCCTCATCCCATCGCAGCACTATGAAAACTCCACTCCAGATGGGTCCAGCCAATAACAGGGGGCTCCTTCTCCTTTTAACTCCAAGTTGGAAGCCTACAGTATCTTTTCAGGAAGAACAGGACATAAGCACTCCTCATCCTGTCCAAGCTTACTGTTGCAGATGCTAAGTTTTAGGTGAATGCAGCTGACAGATAGGGGCTCCCTTCTTCTTCCCGGCCCCCACCAGTGAGATGGTCACTCTAACTTGGGTGTGGCAAGCTGAGAAATCCTGGGACCCCAACTACTCTCACCCTGGCTCATTCATAAAGCAGAAGTTCCACACCAGGAGAGGCAAGCTGAGAAGACCAGAGGTTACAGCCAGCCCCCACTCCAACAAGTACCCACTCCTAAAGTAAGGGTCTTACTGAGAGAGAAGCATACCATTGTCTCCATCCCTAGCTCCAGATATTTCAACCATGGAGAGAGACAGACCATGAAACAGAGAGTTCTGAAGCTTGTCTCAAAAGAACTGACTTCATTTGCAACAGCACGTGGGGAAGTTAAAGCCTAACAGCACTCTCAAAGACAATCGAGGTTGTGGTGAGAACAATTCAGAGGAGGCTGTTAGATTCATTTGGCATAAAAGCTAGACCACTGAATAGTTTACCAGAAAGAACTAGGGAACGAGACAGCTGGGGTCAGAGCAGATCTTAAACAATGATCTAAAAACTATACCTGAAAAGGAGGCCAGAATTGCTATAATATATTATGTTAAGGGTCCAATTTCCAACAGAAGAAACTATGAGCCATGCATAAGAGCAAGAAAGTTTGACACACATAAAAAAAAAAAATCAGGCAACAGAACCTGCCTGTGAGAATGACCACATGTCAGATTTAACAAAGAATTGAAAGTTGGGGGGTGGAGGGTGGGGGCTAGGGGAAGGATAGCATTAGGAGAAATACCTAATGTAGATGACAGGTTGACGGCTGCAGCAAACTACCATGGCACACGTAGACCTATGGAACAAACCTGCGTGTTCTGCATATGTATGCCAGAACTTAAAGTATAATAATAATTAAAAAATCAAAGTAATAATTATAATCAAAGTGCTAAAGAAAACCATGTTTAAAGCAGTAAAGAAAGGTATGGTAATAATGCCTCATCAAATAGAGAGTGTAAATAAAGAGATGGAAGTTATTTTTCTGAAATAGAAATTCTGAAGCTTGAAAGTACAATAACTGAAATGAAAAATTCACTGAAAGGGCTCAACACTAGATTTGAACTGGCAAAAATAAAAATTAGCAAACTCAAAGATAGATCGACAGAGATTATGCAATCTAAAGGACAGAAACTGAAAAAAAAAAAAACGGGCAGAGTCTCAGAGAAATGTGGAACACCATTAAGTGATCAACATATGCATAATGGGAGTGACAGAAAGAGAGGAAACAAAGAAAGACACGGGAAAGTTCAAAGAAATAATGTCAAAAAAATTCCTGAATTTGATTTTTTTTAACTTTAATGCACAGACATAAAACTCAAAAACTCCAAGTAGACTTAATGCAAAGTAGTAAAAATTCTGAAAACCAAAGAGAAGAAAAAAAACTCAAAAGCAGCTAGAAAAAAAAAGGAATCATCACTCACAAGGGAGCAGTATAAAATTAACAATTGACTTCTTTTTTTTTTCCACATTGATAATATTTATGTAAATACTTGCAAGTCATGATACAATCACAGAGGGAAAAATATGTGAAAATATTTAGTATTTCATTGTATTCCTCTACATATAAAACCAATTCAAATTGTCACTGGATTAGTAGGTTTGAAACTTTTCTGACTTGTATTGAGCACAATCTTACCACTATAGCACATAAATTTTTGATTAAAAGTAATTCACTCTAATTTTTAAAATAATCTACTTGGTCAGGAGCGCATTGCTTTGTTGGCATCTGTGATCAGCTGAAGATGGTGGTGAATAGCCTGATTGCATTTCTTGGAAAAAGATCTTTTATTCTGCTGTTCAACCCAGGTCTCTGCCTTCCTCAGAGACTGAGGCTCATCCATCAGTTTCCCTGGAAAACGGCCTGCAGCCTCCCACTCAGGGCTTGGCTGTGCTCATCTAGTCCCTCCCAGGGCTGGAAGGGCTGTCCCTGGTGATCCACAAAGGTGTCCCAGCAGTGCCTAAACTCGCTGTATTTCATCACGGAAATTGGGACCCCAGCTCTGTCCAGCCTGTGCAGGCCCTTTTTATAACCTTGTTGACAATCATAGATGCGGGCAGCGAAGATGCGCAGGTTCACGTGTGGGTTCTCTTGAAGGAATTCAGCCACCTTCTCAGCACAGCTGAAGCAGGGGCTCCAGGAGATGAAGCAGGTGACCCTGTAGCGCTGGGCCAGGTCCAGCTTCCAAAAGGAAATCAGGTCCAAGAGGCACAGCTCTGCATGGCAGCCTTCAGGGAAACCAGAATTATTTGAAGCCTCATTGAGTATGAAGCCCCCATGCTGGTGCAGCGAGATCCAGGTGCCACTGTGCATGTGCTCCACCTCGTAACACAGGTAGGTCTGGTGCCGTCCAAGGACTGAAGGGTCATTGGTAAAGTTGTAAGTGAATGTGACTGGATCCATCAGGTGTCCGAGAACTTCCCCCAGCGTGATGCGCAGTAATGTGTAATGTTTAGGTGGCTTATTCCAAGGCTTGTACAATCTTTGGTTGTCCACGAACTTGTCCCAACAGTGTTGAAATTCACCATAACTCATGATCTTCATGGTGGCATGCGGACTGTCTCTTCTCTGACACAGTCTGTGAAGCTTCTCCTGGTAATGTGGGTCCTAGAAGTAGTAGAGGCGGGCCACGAAGATGGTCAGGGTGACCTTCCCGTCCTCAGCCAGGAACTCGGCCACATTCCTTGCACACACTGGGCTGGGGCTCCAGGACACAAACCAGGTGACCTCGTACTCCTGGTCACTATGCGGCTTCCGCTTTCGGAACCAATGGAGGAATCTCATCTCTGGGTGGTGTTGAGGCTTCGAATAGACCTGGCCTTAAAAGATCTTTGCAACCAAAGGGGGCCTTGAGCCGTCGTTTGTTTTCATTTTCACTCCGTAGCCCAGCCAGATGGTGTTCCGATGAGAAAGGATGGGTCTATTATAAAAGTTGTAGAAGAATGTGTCTGGATCCATTTGCACCACTGTGTTTCTGGTCTGAGGCTTCATCTGTGGCCAGCTAGTCCCAACCATGATCTTTGTCTGAACAACTGACTTCTTATTAGAAATAATGGTGGCCAGAGACAGCGGGATAAACATATTCAAAGCACTTAAAAATAACAATTGTCAACCGATAATACTGCATCCTAAAAAACTATCTTGCCAAAAGGAAGGAGAAAGAAAGACATTCCCAGTATTACTCTCATATCAAATCCTGGCAAACATATTGCAAAAAAACTATATATCTTATGAATATAGACGCAAAATCCTCAACAAAATGCTAGCAAACCAAATCTAGCAACATATTCAAAGAATTATACACCATGACCAAATGGGATTTATCCCCGGAATGCAAATTTGGTTTAACACCTGAAAATAAATTGATGTAACATGCCATATTGATAGATTTTTTTTTTTTGAGATGGAGTCTCACTCTGTCACCCAGGCTGGAATACAATGGCACAATCTTGGCTCACTGCAACCACCACCTCCCAGGTTTGAGCAATTTTCCTGCCTCAGCCTCCCAAGCAGCTGGGATTACGGGTGTGTGCCACCACGCTCAGTTAACTTTTTGTATTTTTAACAGAGATGGAGTTTCACTCATCAGAAAGAATGAAGAACTAATATGTGCTGGCCAGAACTAATTGATGTTGGCCAGGCTGGTCTCAAACTCCTGACCTCATGATCTGCCTGCCTCGGCCTCCCAAAGTGCTGGGATTACAGGCATGAACCACCACACCCAGCTGATCGATTTTTTTAAATGACATTATTATCTCAATAAACACAGAAAAAGAATTTGACAAAATCCAACACTCTTTCATGCTAAAAACACTGAATAAATTAGAAGTATCCAGGAACCTCCTCAATCTAATAATGGGCATATGTGAAAAACCCACAGCTCACATACTCAGTGGTGAAATACTGGATGCTTTTCCCCTAAGATCCGGGACAAGACAAGACTATCCTGCTCACCACTTTGATTTAACATTGTATTGGATATTCTAGCCATGGAAATTAGTCAAGAAAAAGAAAGGAAGAAGTAAAATATATTTATTGAAGAATGACATCATCATGTACCTAGAAAATCCTAAGGGATCAGAATCCATTAAAAACTGTTAAAACTTCAGTGTGTAGTGCAAAACTAATGAACAAGTTCAGCAAGAGTAAATGAAAAAAAATCAGTATACAAAAATCAATTGTATTTCTTTACATTTGCAATCAACAATTTGAAAATGAAATTAAGAAAAGAGTTCCACTGGCATCAGCATCAAAAAAAATAAAATATTTAGGAAAAGGTTAAAGAAGTACAAAACTTACACTTTAAAAAGTGCAAAATGTTGTTGACAAATATTAAATAACACCTAAATGGGCCAGGCATGGTGACACACACCTGTAATCCCAGCACTTTGGGAGGCAAAGGCAGGTCGATTGCTTGAGCCTAGGAGTTCAGGACCAGCCTGGGAAACATGGGGAAATCTCATTTCTGTGTAAAAAATACAAAAATTTGGCCAACATAGTGGGGCTGCCTGCAGTCCCTGCTACTCTGAAAGCTGAAGCAGGAGAATCACTTGAGCCTGGGAAGTCAAGGCTGCAGTGAGCTGTGATTGCACCACTGCACTCCAGCCTGGGCAACGAAGGGAGACCCTGTCTCAAAAAAAAAAAAAAAAAAAAGGACCTAAATAAATCAAAAGATGTCCTATGTTTGTGGATTATCAAACTTATATTGTTAATGTAAATATACTCTCCATACCGACCTATAGACTCAATGCAATGCCTATCAATGCAATCCCAATGGTATTTTTTGTAGAAATGAAAATTCCAATCCCAAAATTTATATATAATTGCAAAGAACACCAAATAGTCAAAACAGTCTTGAAAAAGAAAAACAAAATTGGAGAAATCGCATTTCCCAATTTTAAAACTTAATACAAAGGTATAGAAAGTTGTACCTGTAAGGATAGACACATAGGTCAATGGAATAGAATTCAGGGTCCAGAAATAAAGCCATACAACTACAGTCAATTGATTTTTGACAAGGATGCCAAGGATGTTCTTTCTCCATTCAATGGAGAAAGAACAGTCTCATCAACAAATGATGCGGGGTAACTGGATAGCCTCATGCATGAAGTTTGACCCTTACCTTACACCGTACACAAAAGTCAACTCAAAATGGATCAAAGATGTAAATGTAAGTGCCAAAATTATGAAGCTCTTAGAAGAAAACAGAGGGATAAAACTTCATGACCTTGGATTTGGCCATGGGTTCTTGCATGTAGCACCAAAAAGCACAAGCCACAAAAGAAAAAAAAATTAGCTAAGTCGAACTTCATCAAAATTTAAAACCTTTGTGCTTCAAAAGATATAGTTGAACAGTGAAAAGAAAACCCACAGAATGGGAGAAAATGTTTGCAAATCCCATGTCTGATAGGGAACGTGTGTATACAAGGAACTCTCACAACTCACAATAAAAAGCCAAGTAATCCAAATTAAAAATGGGCAAAAGATCTGATAGATATTTCTCCAAAGAAGACATACCTATGGCTAAAAATACATGAAAATATAATCAGCATCATTAGCCATCAAATCAAAGCCACATTAGATACCATTTCACGCTCGCTAGGATGGCTATAAACAAAAAGAGAATAACTCCACTGTGGGTTAAAATGTGGAGAAATTGGAACCCTCATATATTGCTGGTGGGAATGTAAAATGGTGCAGCCATTGTAGAAAATGGCCTGGCAGTTCCTCAAAAGGTTAAGCATGAAGTTACTCTATAATCCAGCATACCCAAGAGAAATAAAAGTATATGTCCACACAAAAACTTGCACCCAAATCTCCATAGCAGCATCATTTATACTATCCAAAAAGTAGAAACAACCCAAACGTCCATCAACTGATGGATGGATAAACAGTGGTATATCTAGACGATGGAATATTATTCATCCATGAAAAGAAATGAAGAACTAATATGTGCTATAACTTAGATAAACCTTGAGAAAATTATGCTAAGTGAAAGCAGCCAGTCACAAAAGACCATGTACTATATGACTGGTTTATATTAAACGTCCAGAGTAAGCAAATCCATAGAGACAGAAAGTAGATTAGCAGGGGCCAAAGGCAGAAGGTATCAGATAAAGGGCACAGGCTTTCTTTTTGAGGTGATGAAAATGCTCTAAAATTGATGTAGTGATGGTTAAATAACTCCATGGATATACTAACAACCACTGAATTGTACCTGTTAAATGGGTGAATTGTGTATGTGAATTATATCTCAATAAAGCTGTTACAAAATAAGTCAATTAGCTAACCAAATAAAAAAATAAAAAATCAAGAAGTAGTGAAACAAGCATGCCATCTAGAAACATGAATAAAATGTCAAAATAAATCAGCTAAAAGAAGTCAAAGTGGTTTCCTCTCTGCGGTGTGGGAAATGGGAGTGAGTTAATTTTATTTTAAAAAACCTTGTAGAACTGTGTGATTATTTATACTCTGTGTGTGTGTGTGTGTGTGTGTGTGTGTGTGTGTGTGTGTGACTTTTGATAAAAATTAAAACTTTTGGATTTATAAATAAAACCTTTAGTCTTAGGGACTGAGCCCCCCCACTGCTGAACTTGGAGGCTGTAAGGAGGGTAGCTGGTCAGGTACCTTAAATTTGCTCCTGCAGAGTTGAAAGCTTGTGCCTTCCACCGAGGGTCAGCCAGGTTCTGGCCCCAAAGAAAAGAAACAGGTAGGGCTGTGGGGTTATCCCAAGTCTACAGATCTTACCTGATCCTGCCCAATGCCTTGAAAATCTGGGCCTCTGTCTTTTTTTTTTTTTTTTTTTTTTGAGATGGAGTTTCGCTCTTCTTACCCAGGCTGGAGGGCAGTGGCGCGATCTCGGCTCACCACAACCTCCACCTCCTGGGTTCAAGCAGCTCTCCTGCCTCAGCCTCCCAAGTAGCTGGGACTACAGGCGCTCGCCACCATGTCCAGCTAATTTTTGTCTTTTTAGTAGAGACGGGGTTTCACCATGTTGACCAGGATTGTCTCAATCTCTTGACCTCATGATCCACTCGCCTCGGCCTTCCAAAGTGCTGGGATTACAGGCGTGAGCAACCGCGCCAGGCCTGCCTCTGTCTTAAAAGAAAATTATTCACAGTACACAGTGGTCTAGAGGCGACCGGCCCCCTGCTGGGGAAAGTGTCAACTGATCAAGAATCCGGATGCCTTCAGTGAACACCTGCTGTGTACCAGGCACCTCCACGGACATCCTCCTGTAATCCTCTCAAGGGCCCTGGGAGGCAGGTGGGTTTATCCCCATGCTACAGATGAGGAAACTGAGTCTCAGGGAGGTTTAGCAGCTTGCCTGGGGCCACAAAGCTAAAAAGAGCCAGGGTAAGATCCCAAGTCTGGCTGTCTCCCAGTCCGGCACTCTATTCACTACAGAGCTTTCCAGCACACAGAAGGAGGCAGGGAAGGAACTTGGGAAAGGGGAGACCCTTCTCTGAGCAATAGAAGCCATGTCTGAGCTCAGCTCATTCCAGGATGTGAGTCATGGTGAGAAGCCCAAATTCATCACGAGACAATGAAGGCTCTAACTTGGAGAAATGACTCTGCATACTCCATGGGAGCTGCAGGCAGTGGTTCAAAACAGGCTGGTCCAGCCCCGCAGCACTCCACCTCACCAGAGCGTTTCGGTCATCACTGCCTCTCTGCGTTTGAGGCCACCCAGGTGTAAAACCAGACTTCAGGACTACCCTTGAGCCTCTGGGGCCAGTTAGGGCTGCCCCACATCAAAGTCCAGGTGAGAGTCGGCAGTGGCTTTTTAATCTGGAAGAGACCTTAGCCACCACCTAGTCCGCTATTCTTATTGCACAGATGAGAGCTGAAAACCTCGAAGAGAAAGGACTCACTGGTGATCACACAGCGAGTGAGTTCACCACCGAGCCAGCTCTCCAGCCAAAGCGTCTGCCCGCTGCCTTCCCTGCCTGCGCCCTCCCGATAGTGCCAGTGCCCTTCTGCCGCTCATGCCACACCCTTAACCTGGATGCCCCCGTTCTCTTTGTGTTCACACATGTCACCTTATTACTTTCTCCTTAGACACCCAAGCACAGCACCAGAAAAGCTACAAATTAGCACTAAAGAGTGTCCACTGGTGGCCGGGCATGGTGGCTTACGCCTGTAATCCCAGCACTTCGGGAGGCCGAGGCAGTTGGATCGCTTGAGGTCAGGAGTCTGAGACCAGCCTCGCCAACATGGTGAAACCTCTTCTCTACTAAAAATACAAAAATTACCCGGGCGTGGTGGCGCGTACCTGTAATCCCAGCTACTCAGGAGGCTGAGGCAGGAGAATCGCTTGAACTCGGGAGGCAGAGGTTGCAGTGAGCCGAGATTGCGCCATTGCACTCCAGCCTGGGCAACAGAGCGAGACTCCATCTCAAAAAAAAAAAAAAAAGAGTGACCCCTGGGTCCTCACTTCCCCCGAAATCTTGACATTTTAAAAGAATCTTAGAATCCCTCTCCCTCTCCCTCTTCCGCTATCTTTCCACATCACGCAGATATCATGATGACCGCAGAGAAAGGCAGGCATGGGTTCGTATACATCATTAGGTTTGAATTCAGATAGGCAGACTTGGGGTCTACCTAATTCTAGATCTGACATTTAGTAACTACATGACCTTGGGACAGTCACTCAACTTTTCTGAATCTCAGTTTTTTCATCTGTAAAAGGGGGACAAGAATACTCACTTTCCAGGCTGGGCCCAGTGGCTCACACCTGCAACCCCAACACTTTGGGAGGCTGAGATGGGAATTTGAGACCAGCCTGGCCAACACAGCAACACCTCTATAAAAATAAAAGAGAAATAAATATTTTTTTAAAAAACACTCACCTTTCAGAGACGTAGCAAGGGTGAAGGAAGTCGATGGCTGTGGATTCCTTTACACAGTACCCAGAATGGAGTGGGCCCCAGGAAATGCTGAGATAGACAGTCAGAGATAAGGAGGGAGGAAGGGGACCTACAGGCTTTTCTTTTTCTACGAGAATCATCATTATTTCATGCACGAATCTCGCATCTCCACTAGAACTCTCCCTGATGCTGAAAACACAGCTTTTGCTTCTGAACCCCTACCCCACCCAGCACAGGGCTTACATCACAGTAGGAGCTCCAAAATCCCCTGTCTTCCTGCCTATGGTTACAGAAAGACCAGCTTGATGGGGGAGCCCACAAACCTGGATGGTGGCACCAGCACACCTCCTCTCTACAAGGAGCTCAGAGCGGCTTTTCACGAGGCCCCTGGGAGGCAGTCAGGACCAGCTCCCCCTCATTTCACAGATGGGCAGACCGAGGCCTCGGGCCACAGCCTAGGCTGCAGGGCCAAAGACCCAGGGTCCTGACCATCCATCCTCCCCCACCACCAATGCTGCGAGGCCAGCTCAGCCTCTGGGTCCACTAAGGCCCTCCTCCCGTCCACATTCGAGCCCTGTGTTGTGATGGCACTGCTGGGATGCTCTCTTGATGCCAGCTTTATTTTTAGATGCTCTAAGACTGTTGGGGAAGAAGAGACCCACTTTCCGGTTCAGAAACGTTGTCATCACTTTGAAAACGCCTCCTCCGTCTGTCATGAAAAGGCAGCTGGGCCTTCCACTTTGCAGTGCCATGGCCCCGGGACCACACCTGCTCCTGTTCCGTCCAGGCAGCCCGGCCCCTGTCCACTCCGCAGTTTGATCTCATACTCCGTTCCTTCTCTCCCAACCCTCCACCAAATCCCTGGGGCCTGGGGTCCATCCTGTTCTCCCTGCCCCTGCCCTGGCTTTGCATCTGCCCTTCCTTCAGTCTGGAAGCCCTTCCCTCTTGCCTCTCTCGTGGGAAAGAAGGAACCTATTCACCCTTCAGCTGCAGCTTGATAGCAGACCCAGATGATCCCCTGGTCTGTACCCAGAACTTCTCTTTTGTAACACAGTCCACATATTTGCAACTACTTAAGAATTTACAGGCTAGGCAAAGTGGTTCACATCTATAACCTCAGCACTTTGGGAGGCCAAGGTGGGAAGACTGCTTGAGCCCAGGAGTTCAAGACCAGCCTAGGCAACACAGGGAGACCCTATCTCTACAAAACATAAAAATTAGCTGGACATGGTGGTGTGAGCCTGTCTTCTCAGCTACTCAGGAGGCTGAGGTGGGAGGATTGCTTGAGCCTGGGAGGTTGAGGCTGCAGTGAGCAGTGATCATGCCACTGCACTCTAGTCTGGGTGACACGGCAAGACCCCATCTCAAAAACAAGAATTTGCGATTAATTTCCAAATGTTTTCCCTTATATATAATATTTTCATCTGTTAGGTTGAAAGGTCCCTGCTCCACCTTGATCCCTGCCGTCCCCAGTGCCCAGCAGAGCCCCTAGCATATTGGAGGTGCCCAATAAACATTTGTTGACTGACTGAATGACCTCTAAGGCCAAGGAACGCTCCCTGAGCATCGCGATCAGTTCCCGTGTGATTCCATCCAGTCCTCACGGCAGCCTCTGAGCAGGGCGCGGTTGCCCCCTTTCACAGACGAGAATACAAGCTGGAAGGTTGGGGCGCAAATTCAGGCCCCACAGAAGCACCCTCCCCGTCAAACCTGAAGGTCACTGTGCCATCCATCCTCAGTCGTTGGGGACAGCCCAGACCTGCCCCAGGCTCCAGACAGGCTAGGACCAGCCCCGCTCTGCGGAGGACCCAAGTGCTGGGGGGCCTCCTCCCCGCTGCCCACCCGCACCCCATGAGGTGCCCTTGGAGGGTCTTAGGCTGCTAAATCCCTCCCAGGGCGACCATAGCACCCCGGCGCCCTCTAGTGGTGGCAGGAAGAGTCTGTGGCGAGGGCCAGGAAGGGGAAAGGAAAGGAAGGTTGCAGGAGGGAGGAGGTGAGGAAGGGGAGAGAGAAGAGATGGGAAGAGAAAGGTGGGGCTGAGGAAGGGCGGGGGAAAGGAGCTAGAGGAGGCAGGCCGGGCACTTTGTCCTGGGCCCTGGAGTCCCTTCTCCCCTCTGGTGCTCACTCTGCCAGCTGCCACCCTGGGTTTCTGCCCTCCAGCTGGCCTAGCCCTGGGGGCCTGAGAGGGACATCCCTGCCCCAGGGAATTGCTGATTCGGACAGCCCACCTCCTGCCTAAAGCCCTCTCCCAGCTGAAAGGGGCTGGGAAGAACTCTCTCCCTCTCTTCCTGGAGTCTTCTCACCCATCAGCCAGCCGGGGCTTCCAGATGGCCCCCACAATCACAAGGACACACATGCCCAGCTCTGCCCCAGCCCTCCCCGCCTCCCTCCCTGCCAAGCCACCCCAAAATCCCAGCAGCTGCAGTTGCCATAGAAACAGCACCTCCACCCCACCCCCACCACTTTCACATAAATAAACTGCAACCTGGGGAACGGGGAGCCGCTGGAAGAGGCCGAATGTGCAGAGCCAGCTCATTTCCCGCTCTTCTCACTTCGGGATAATTAGTGCAAATTAAATTTCACACCCCTTCTCCTGAGCAGTCAGAGCTCCCTGGGAATGGATACTCACGACTCATGGGGGGAATATGCTCAGATGTCTCTTTGCAATGTGCAATACGAGAGAACATTTCTCAGCTTCCAATTCTCAATGATTCCCCAAAGTCGGCATCAAGGTGGGTGTGCAGGGCCAGGGAGTGAGCATGTCCGAGTGGGATGGGCGCAGGGCCCCCGGAAGATGGGAGACTCAAGTCCAACACTCAGCGCTGGCACCCTTCTCCCAGGTTTTCTCACCTGTAAAGCCATAAGGAGGGGCCAAGTCACCGCAGAAAAGAAAGCCTCTGGTTACCAAGGCCTCCAGCTTGGAAGGGCCCCTGCTTGGTTGAAGGCGCTGCTGTCTAATTTTTGAACAAGAAGCCCACATTTTCATTTTGTAATGGATCCTGCAAATGTTCTAGCCGGTCCTCCTTGCACGCATTTATTTCTGCATATTAAGTATCTGGGTGAGCAAACACGCACAACACCCCTAGAAGCATAACAGCACCCGCTGCGGGCCAGATGCTGCTCTGAGCGCCCTGTGTGCCTTCTCCTCACAGTGAGCCCGTGAGTGGATTAACATAGGGCGTCTCAAATGTTAAAGTGCCCGGGCCTGAGGATCGTGCCAGAGTACAGGGTCTGAATCAGCAGGTCTGGGGGAGGGCCTGTGACTCTGCATTTCTAACATGCTCCCAGGGGAGACCAATACTACACTCCCTGAGGTCCCATTTGAGAAGCAAGAGCAGCAAGGGCGTGGCCTCGTAAAGGCCTGGGTGTAGCTGCCCCCTTCCCTGGAAATGCCTGGGAGATACGTCTTCCTCCAGGTGAGGGCTGGGAGGACATCTCAGCCAACTAATGGCTGGCAGGGGCTGGCCTCCTCCTCTTATGGCGGGCCACCTCTGCGAAGCCATTTATGATTCAGGGCTCCCCGTGGGATCAGGCTGAGACTAGACACCGGCTGACTTCACATCTCAGCTTTGAGCTTCTCCTGCAGCTCTATCCTGTTTCCCACACCGGCTTGCAGCTTCTCCCACAATAAATCACTTGGGTAAGAAGGCCTGTCTTGGACCGTGCTTCCCAGCAACCCAACCTAAGACAGGGGGATACTACAATTTTCCTTATTTTATTGATGAAGAAGCGGACCAAGAGGTAACTTGCCCAAAACGTGTAAGTGACAGAGGCCAACGTTGAATAGGCAGTCTCATTCCACTACCTCTATATACTTGGATATACCATGCAAATCCACTTTTCTACTCGCATACATATACTAACGTCAGTGCACCTGTTTACATGCATGTCTGTACACACGGCATATTTTTGTGTGCAAAATGCCACTCACATGCACACAGTTCACTCAAACACCTACTTCCACACATGCGCACACCCCTGACATCTGTATCCCCAAAGATGCAAATGTGCATATTCATTCATTCATTCAATTCATAAATGAATTGTCACACACATGCTTGGACGTCTTTTCTCCAAGTCTCACCACAGACTTCACCCCCTTCTGCAGCCTTCCCGGCCTCCCTGAGTGATACGGTTGGCATCTGTGTCCCCACCCAAATATCGTGTTCAGTTGTAATTCCCAACGTTGAAGGTAGAGCCTGGTGGGAGGTGATGGATCGTGGGGGTGAGTCCTTCATGAATGGTGTAGCACCATCCCTGTCCTGCTGCTTTTGTGATAGAGTTCTCACGATATCTGGTCATTTAAAAGATTGTGGCAACTCCCCTCTCTCTCTCTCTCTCTCTTTCTCTCCCTCTCTCTCTCTCTTTCTCTCCCTCTCTCTCTCTCTCTTCCTCCTGCTGCAACCATGAGAAGTGTCTGCTCCCCCTTCTCCTTCCACCATAACTGTAAGTTTCCTGAGGCCTCCCCAGAGGCAGAAGCTGCTATGTTTTCTGTACAGCCTGCAGAACCTCTTCTCTTTATAAATTACTCCGTCTCAGACATTTCTTTATAGCAGTGTAAAAACAGACTAATGCACTGAGATTAGGTCCCTGTCCTTGCCCCTTTTTCCAGTCTGTCTCCTCTGCCAGTCTCAGCGCTCCTCTGTGGCGGGGTACCTGGTCTGATTTGTCATTGTAACCACAGGGTCTGGTACAGAGCCTGGCCCATAGTAAATGCTCCATACACATTTGTTGAGCTGAATTTAATCCAGCGCTGCCATTTACTAGCCATGTGACTTTGGAAGGGTGCCTTCCTTCTCTGCATCTCAGCTTCCTCATTTCCTCAACTCCCAGGGAGGTAGGTAGTGCTATCAGGTAGCAGGTGACCCAATCCAGTCTTAGGGAAGGTACGAGAAAAGATTTCTTAAAGGACAGGAAGGGACACTGAGTTAAAATTTGAAGGAATATCAGGATTTAGCCAGGTGAAGAGGGAAAAGAAGAGTTCCAGGCAGATGGAACAGCATGTGCAAAGGCTCAGAGGTAAGAAGGATCTGAAAGGGGAAACCCATGTGCCTGGAGTGTGGTGTGGAGATTGTCCGTAGGGAGGTGCTGAGCAGCCACAGTTTGGATTTTATCTTGAAGGCAATGGAGAGCCATTGAACATTTTAGTGAGGACAGCTGATTTGGGTTTCTAAAAGAGCACCCAGGCCAGCCGCAATGGCTCACACCTGTAATCCCAGAACTCTGGAAAGCTGAGGTGAGTGGATCACCTGAGGTCAGGAGTTTGAGATCAGCCTGGCCAAAATGGTGAAATCACATCTCTACTAAAAATACAAAAAAAAAAAAAAAAGTAGCCAGGCGTGGTGGCGCATGCCTGTAATCCCAGCTACTTGGGAGGCTGAGGCAGGAGGATCACTTGAACCCAGGAGGCGGCCATGTCAGTGAGCCAAGATTGAGCCACTACGCTCAATCTCCAGCGCTCCAGGGACAGAGTGAGAGTCTGTCTCAAAAAAAAAAGAAAGAAAAAAGAGCACCCAGGTTGCTATAGGCTGAGGTCAGAGAGCAAGAATGCAAGTGCAGACAGCATTTGAAACCCTGCTGCCAGCAGCCAGGCATGGG